GCTATGAATGTCAAAATAACCATTATGACTGAGTGAATCAGGTTTATTTTCCAAATATCACGGAAAAAATAAAGTTAAAATGTTTACGACCCACAGAGTATACGTGAGAAGACCATCGCTGGCTTTTTTTGAAATGAAAATTCTACCTTAGATGAAACCGCTGTTATTGAGTGTTCTATTAGGTTTTGGTCACTGCTTGACAATACAAAGAAAGAAAGCCATGCCGTGAAAAATGAGATATGGCAATTTGAAAATGTTTCAACCTTGACTTTCAAGTTGATTTAAATCATTTTCACAAAAGAAACCCATGCGTTATTTCAATGCTGTCAAACTTGTTGTAAAACAGTGGGAAAGCATTATTTTGTCCATCAAGGACTGATATATATCGCATGGATTATATACAGGATTTGTATATTCCAAAAGACCAATGCTTACATTTCAATTTTTTTTTGAAAATCGAATGCCAACCACACACAACTGATTTAAAAATGTGACTTTTGAATAATGAAAAGATTTATTTTATGGAAAGAAAAAACTGGAGGTGACTGGCTGGATCATGCTAAGTGACCTTAGTGTGATTTTAGTCTCAGCATGGTGGAACATCCGTGGATTTTCCTAGGCTTTTCATATCCGAATGAATTCCCAGAGTGTAAATCACAGATCATAGCCGAGTAACCATTGAATGTATGGACATAAAACAAATATATGCTCTAAACTAAAGGTCACCTTTGATTTCTATCAGAGTACAGAAATTGAATTGACTGGTGGAAATGCATAAATCAGCAAAGCAGATGTTTGATTGAGAAAATATACCATTTGGGGTCATTTGTTGTCCGATTAAAATCACAGGCCCTGCTGCATTATATAAAAGTGTCATTATGTGCCCAGAGTTATCTTATACCTAGATAGAAGCAGTATGCATCCATATATTTTACGTTAAAATACATGTAAAAAAAAGGAATAATGAAAAGTAACCAGCAGGCATGGACCATGGACAGCCATTTTTTGCCGATCCACTCTTGGGTCTCCCTCTGCCATGCCTTTGTAGCCTGTGCACAACTCCCTTCTTGCACACATGCCTCGAACCCTTTCACTCACTGAGGAGAGCGTGACGCTTACAGCAGGAACTCTGGTGATTGCTCCCATCTGCGCTCTTCCACAACTCTATACCTTACTTTGTATCCTACTGGAAGCATATAAATGCATCAATTGAATGTTTCCATATGCATGCTCAAGACTACGCGTAGACAATGGCTTACCAATGTGTCTCCATCTCCTCTGTGATTTTTGACAGAGCCGAAACGAATAATCTTTAAAGAGGATGTTTGTCAAATGTCCGTGGGGCGGGGAGTGCAGGGAGTGGGAACAAAATGCGTTTTGGCGTTCTCTGGTCTAACACTGGTTGAGACTCGGCCCTAAGGAAGGCTGCTGCCTCTGGTGTAGACCAATCAGTTTCAAAGACAATGCCATCTATTACCCGTGCATGTTTTTGTCTGCATGTTCACCACAAGGACTGTGTGTGTTTAATGCAGACATGATTCCTCGCAAAGGGTTCCTGTTTAGTCTTTGTAAGTGTTTACACGACTGTTTTATTGCCAGAAAGGGTACAACCCATTCTTATGAATTGAGTATGGTTAAATAGCCCCCATTACCGGCACAGTGTGAAGACGTTTCCGTATAATATTAGGTTGACAATTACCTGAAAATAAAAATAATCGTTTAACACATAACAGGATAGCAGGATATATTGGGTTCACGTGTTATATGCACTGTGGAATAATCATGATACCACAGGGAAGCCTCACGGCATTACAAGACTCTTTAATCGGGGTTTGGATACATTGGGATGTTTGGCCAATTCCAATAATGAGAGTTTGGCTATTTGTAGAAGGAAACTGGCATAAATCTTGACTTAAAGCTTTCGTGACTGCAGGAATTCATACTCTTTTGGTCTTTCGGTAAAGTCACGTAGATAGAAAAATAATAAAGTAATAAAAATCACGACATTTCGATCGCAACACAAGCAATCGTCTTCAGGTGAAAAAATACAGCAGGCGGACTGCTGAGGCAGGAAGAATATAGCAAGAGAACTACTGCAGCCATAGGTTATAAAGGTTTGAGATGAGTACAACCCAAGGAAACTAGCATACCCGGAGAAAACCCACGACACATCGGAAGGGGTGACACTCAGAGCTCTGCTGCATAGAGAGGTTCAAGAATCCATCACCGTGCTTCTCTCTCCTGACCACCTCGCAGCCAGCCCAAAACCTACAGCACCTTATATTTCCAAGCAATCTCCAATTCAAAAACGAACCAATCTCAACTCTGGCATTTTGAATGTAACAAATATTTCATCTGGAGGGATAGATTCATCCCCAAAAGGGATGACAACTGAAAGTGCAGTCCTGGGGATATAAAAAAGCTGAGTCAGGGATACCCCCCCCATCCCTCACATGAAATAAATCTTGTCTGGAATCCCAATCAACTAGGTTCAAATAAATAAATTGCTTAATTGAGTCATAATTAGCACTAATGCCTGACAAGATGTCCCCATACTCCTTGCTCTTGATGTAAGCACATCACCAGTACCGTGAGCAAAATACAGCAGTGTGAGTGCATCTTACTTGTTGATGGTTGAATGCATTAATCATTTTGGCTTTTTGTACATCATCAATGACAATAACACGTGATTATCATTCCAAACAACATTTCTAAAAATCTAAAAATACTTAGAGGTAAGAGTTTTCAAAACCTCGAAGGTTACTACAGCATTCTCGATAAGGTAATTCCAGCATTAAAAAAGTAATGTGGCAAGGTTTGTCAGGCACACCTGCAAACCATATTTGACCCTGGTATGGTATGTATATTGAACTTCTTTCAACTTAAATTAATTCCTAAAAGTTCTAGATATTTTCTTCATAACTCTGATTTAGCCACTAGGTTAGATTCAGAAATGTGAGTCGTAAGAGTCGAAAGAGGAATACTGAATGAGAGGAGGTAGGCGCAACGCCAACTCGTGAATTTCACTTTGATGTTACGTGCACAAGGCACATTCAAAAGCTCAATTGCAGGGGAAAATGTGTAACTACACACCAGTCCCAGACTCTCATCAGACTATTTGACCTGGGAGGCTGCATGGATTTCATTTCTGCCATCCTTTTCAATACAAAAGTGTATCTAATGCATGCATGAGCTAACCCAACAGAACTCTATATGAAAGCTGTCTCCTTAAACTGAAGCTAGGTGTTAACAATGGGAACAGGAAACACAATTTGGGGAAATTAGAATTTCAAAAATAAATACTTAACAAACTCATTAGCACCTTAACAAAAGTCACATCTTACAAATAAAATGTTTTCACATTTCCTTTTTACATTTGTTTAAAATGCACATTAGACTGGTCTCTGCCAATTTCACAGTCCTACAGGGTTGCTCTGAATATATATTCAGTGAAGCCATTGCACAACACTTTTTCCATACCCATTCCACCTCAAAACTTAAAAATATGCAAATTGACAAGGCTAACATACTCCCGTCCTGCAGCAGAGCCCTAAGAAGAAATGTAAAGCTGTTGGGATAGAAAAAAGGTTTCCACAGGAGATAAGATGCAGCGAAGGGAATTTGTGCAATAAATTTAAAACACTGGCAATTTTTTTTTTATAAATCATACTTTTCAAAATCACATTTGAAGTTCAACAGCAAAACTGCGGGCAGGTTGAGAAGTGTGACGTTGTGCTCATAGACACAATAAAACATTACATTTACCCCGGGGATTGCTGACGAAGCACACTTTTTACATTCAATCGTTATCCTTATTAAGATCCAGCACATGTATAGTCCTAATGCAAGATTGTACAAAATGCATTACCCCCACGTGGGGTAATACATTTCAGAGATGATTGTGACTCTTATCTTGGAATTAATCAAATATCACTTAACGCCAATAGTACATGTAACTGCCCATCTCGGGGATAGAACAGATGACTCAAAATAAATCGAAGAGAAAGTGTGTCCTCATGTAAATTTAATGTATTTCTCAACATATAATTGGTCCATTATTTTTAGGTGCAATGTAATCACTGCTTCGGGGATTTGGTGAATTCTTTGGCTGCACAATAGGTCCCTGGTATGCCAGCGAACCCACGATGCTGAATTCAAATGATGGATTGTGCCCTGCGTTCTCAGCAATAACACAACACAATTTACCTGCATGCAGAACGTACAACCTATGTTCATGCACCGGGTAAAAGGTAATCATATACAGCTGTTCGTGTATATATATTTTAACTATGTTCAAGATGTAGCGCAAAATAAGCTATTATTTCTGCAGTACATGATGTAGCCAGTCTACCCCAAAACATACATATTTGAACAGCTTTTCCCTTTCTGACTCGAAATCTCACAATGTGAGCTGTAATATATATTTCGATATCAGCAAAACTCGAGCGCAGATGTGGCTTCTCATTTATGCATTATACATGAGGTTAAGCCACTGTATGAATTACGGAGCAGCAATAATGTCATGCAACCAAACATACGCAGAGAAGTGCTGTGCACACTTCATGCAACCACTGAAAAACATTATCCATTGAATAGACCTTTAACTGCTAATCGTGCTGAAAGTGAACGCACTTAATAAACGAAAGTGGAAGTGAGAAAACATCACCACTAAATTAGGCTTACAAACATGCATGGTAATTTCAGCATAATGAATCAGTGTGATGAAAAATGTAAGCTTCAGGTGTTTCTTTTTTTTTACTTTTCACTTAAAAATAAAAACAAGGATTGTCCCATGCTCCACAAAGTATCAGAGCAAGTGCTGTTAGTATCGTTAGTCCTCTCCTCCAGTTGGTGACTTTTTTTTACTTGAAAAACACAAGCTCGCGCGCGTGCACATAAATGCCGGGTTCACAAACGAATTGGATCGAGTGTTTAATAGGCGGCAGAGTCACTTGAATTGAAACAACAATATCGAAAGAGAGCAGAGGTGCCAGACTTACAACGGTGAAGTCGTCGGGGCCGCATTGTTGACCCCCAAAGCGGCACGTGAGCATCATCTCGCCGAGCGGGTGGCCCAGCCGCTCCAGGAGGGTGCGACTCAGTCCAGCAGGGTCACGGGGAGGCAGGAATGTCGAGAAGTCAGAGAGTCGCAGAAACCATTGTCGCTGCGATTCAGCGAGCGAGGCCAACACGTCGGGGTCGGCCGTGAGGTTTACGATGGTCGACGGCCCGTTAGCCAAGCGCGTGAGAAGGCCGAGCCAGATGCCCAGGGCATGTAAGTCGGTGCGGGTGAGGCGCGAGAAGCGCACGAGGTTGTTGTTGCAGAGCGTGATGGCCGGGAAGGTGAGTCCACGCGGCCACACCGTGCTCACTTTGCTGTTTGAGGGCCGCGACAGCAGGTGGTGCACACGGTCGGCTGATGAGGCCAGCAGGAGGGCCAGGGCCGCCACACAGGCCAGCAGCCAGAGGAGGCGATAGGTCCGCGTGCGTCGCGCGGCCAGGACGTGCCGCACGCCGTGCAGTCCCGTGCGGCTTCCAAACCGTGCCGCGGCGAGCGTCACTGCTAGGCGGAGCAGCAAGGAGGGCGAGCGGCCCTCGTGGCCTTCGCAGCTGGGCATCTCTCCAACATCGTTTTCGGGCTCTGGCTCCGTGGGCCTCTCCATGAGCGGCTCTGTGCTCTCTCCGCAATCCTCGACTGCACAGCTGGTGGCCATGCTCTCTGCCCGTACGAAGCTCTCAGTGAGAAATAAGCAGCAGCAGCAGCAGTAGCAGCCAGATAAGCCAGAAATGTCTGCGCAGGCATCTAAACGAAAGATGCCGACAATTTCTATTTGTCATCCTCATTTACCACCTGGCGTTTCCTTATTCCATGTTGGAGATTTTTTTTCTCCCTATTATCTATTGCTCTTTCAAATTCGTGCTCTTTTCAACACCAGTATGGTTTTCTTTCAGATGAAACCCAAGGGAAGCTCAGAAACAGCACGAACCCCTTACAGCGCTCAGAGGATGAAGTTTCCTTCCTCGTATTTTGACTTAATTTTCTGTGATCGAAACCAAACGATTTAACCTGTCAATAATGTTCAAGGCAGCATCCTTTAACTCCCATTGTTGAATTCACCGTTCTTTCTCACGAACAACAAACAAATAAATGCATACAAAAGAAAACTGAACACATCGCCCGACATGAGGTACAATTGTAACAATAAAAAAGTACTTTCTTATATATTAAAAAAAATGTTTGAAGTCACCAACAATGTTCCACCGCCTTCCAAAAAGGCTTCCTTCCCACTCCTAAACGCTGCCTGAAGTGGCAGGTCTTCTTAAAATCATTCATTTTTATTAGCTGCGCAAAACTCCCGATTCCTATAAAGCTGTTTATTCCGAGCACGTACATCAGCAGTTGTTAACCTCAACTCCATTGCCCCACGCCCTCCCAGCATGAGGGAGCAGCCCACAGTTTTGCCTCACTGGAGCAGCGGCGGTGCTACAGCCAAAGCAGGATAAACGGCCGAGCATGGCTAGCCACAGCCGCAAATCTATCACAGGACCGTCCAATTAGCTAGCTCCACCGCCCCCCGTGCGAATGAGGGCACAAAAAGAGATCTGCTTTTGAAAAGACAAGGATACTCTTGGGTGAGCACATTCCTTTGAATGTTGTCGTCCTGGCTCTTTTCACGTTTTCGTCACAGCAATTAAGACATGCACAGTTGTATTTTGAAACGTTACACTTCCTCGTCATGTCCACAGATCGCACTAGCAGAAACTTTGGCTGCACTAATGTCAAACACACATTACGCAAACACATTTTTGATGTATTTCGTGTGGAAATGCAGTGGCTTCTCAAGGTGCTGCATCTCATAAGATGCGCAATGTACAGTGTAATTATATACAAATTAGTTTTTTCATGTGATCTTTCCTGTGACCAACAACCACAGCACAAAGGCTGCATTTACTAGTGCACCATGCATCAACTGCATCACCAGCTGATGGTAGAAAACTGAGAAAATAAATAGCTACTTAAAACAAATGCATACATTTATACCTAACAAAATATACATTTCATAATGGGCAGCTCTACACATACATCGAAGAAAAATAGAGCACAGAGTCGCGTGGTGCATCATAAATGCACGCTGAAGTTATGTAACAGTTTTTGGTCACGCAATAGGTAAGAAACACAACACGATCCTGGGAGCAAGTATTATTGACAAATCCTGAGTAACATCCAGTTTCAACAGAGCATTGCAAAAAATTGCCAATCGACGTGTCCAGGTTACAGCTGCGACAACGTTATTATGTCCGAATGCATTTTACTCCAGGCAGATAATAAGCGCGCTATTTTAAAACGTCTTGTACGACATTAACACTCACAGCAAAGAGTTGCTCTGCGCAATCAAATGAACATCAGTTTTCGCTGATCTCTGTTGGCAGCCCCAGGCTAGCGGTTGAAATTCTGCATTCCATCGGTGGATTTACACGTATACAGCAAATTCAACAGACGCGACTTGTTAAACATATCTACGTGCGAGAAAGAATCCTCCAGAACTTTGCGCTGTGGAGTAGAGCAGAGTTGTAGGCAGCCCAGGGCAGTCTTCGCTGTCCCTCCAGCTGAGCGAGGGATCAAGGACGTCACATGCAAGAGCTAGGAATTTCCACGCATAGCACGGGGAACGCTGGAAGCCGACTACTTCACTGCCAAATTTCACGTTCTCTGCACGTTCGGCTCATTTGCCGCTCCGCTGCGACTGCGACCGACACCGCTGCTCTCCAGCTCAGCGGCACACATCGGGGGCTTAAACATGTTAACACCTAAACGCACATCGGCCGTCCGTCTGAAAGGTTACTCATCTTAACCCCTTGCGGTACGAGCCATCAGCACTCATTATTGTAGGCTGCACTGAGGTGTGCAATTCAACGCAATATATTGTTGCTGTGCAGTGATTTGCTGTCTTGCTGTATTAACAATGACATTAATCTGTCCCGTTGTTTAAGTAAATACAAATATCCGAAAAAGTGCATGTATAAAATGAAGCGACCATTTTAAGGCACAATATCCAATATAATCATGGTGTTGTCAGTAAACAAAACATTACAGCAAAGGGTTTGGGCAATCGCATTTATGTTGTATTGGTCAGATAATCTCATTTTCTGTGCAGAGGCCAACTCAGTAGGGGATGGGGAGAGACATGTGGGAATTACATGGGGGCGATGGACTCGCACGAAGCAGAGCGTACACACGCTGTACAGAAGGGTGGGTGTGCAATATATTTTGAGGATGAAATTGAATTTGGTGTGTGGAAGGCTGAATATCAACTTAGCGTACACCCCTCCATTCACCCCCTTTTCAGGCTGTTTCTCCTCCATCTCTCAATTCCCACCTCCCAACACCCACCTAAGCCATATTTCCCCTCCCCTCGCTAAACAACATTTCAAACCTAGGATCTCAACTGCACGCCTGCAGTTTTATTGGTTCGTGTGGCGAGCAAGCTCGGCATGCAGTCACAGATGTGACGTCACTGCTCACTTGCCGTGCAAAATAAATGCATTATTGCGCCCCCCCCCCCCCCCCCCAAAAATACAAAAGTCTATTTGTATACTTTTTGCATTCTGTACAGTCTGGAAGCTACCCACATGCCAAATTTCAAGTTTGTTGCATGTTGGGAAGTATTTTAAACATTTTTAACAGACACATTCACAAATTTCCCTTTTGTATATATAGACTAAATTAAATACATTTTTAATGCAAGTGTCGTTTTTGCAACTTTAGCCAAACAGCAAAATATATCCCAAATGATCATACATTGCAATTCATCTGATCGCAAGCAGGATTTTGTCTCTATTAATCTTCACGAACAAAGTGATTCACTGGCGTGGAGTGATACTTCATCACAGATTGTCGAGGCTAAAGACTAAAGAAAGCCACAGTGCTTTGGCCAGCATCTCTAAGGCAACGGAGCCACCATTACAGCACAGCAAATGCATCCGTTTGTGCTTACAGTCACATTCGTGTCTGCACAATGAGCCGTGTCCTTTTGCTTTGCTTTATCAATTACCTACACATCGCTCCGACGATTTTATGTGAATCGCTAACAAAAACATTTTATATCTCTTTGTCAATTCCCTACTGCATGAAAGCCTTGCTGTGCCATCGGTCATGGGGGTTGTTTGACCATACTTCACCTCGCTGGTCAGTGCGGTTTGTGAAGGCTGGGGTGGGATAGCCCAAGGCTGGTTCAGCTATCACTCACAACTGATGTTAGCTGTGGCCAGGAATCAAACTCAAGTTGCTGTGTTAAGAGCACAGTGTTTGAAAACATCCTCCTTTATGCTTTGGTGTTTTCCATTTTTGTGTTTACATTTGCTTTATCTATGCGATGACCCCATTAGCATTTACCATTGCTCGATTCGAGTTCTAGTAGGGCCTTGCATTAATATCCATTTGCTTATTGTGCAATTTGTGCACATATTTTCTATGTTTCGTTTGACAAAATTAAAACCGAGGATAACGTCAACTCAATATCCTATTTAAATACGCACAGGTATGCAGCTTGCATTAAAACAAATGACAGAAAACATTGTCCCTTAAGAGAATTCTCAAAACTTATGCAGTCTCCTGTGACGCAAAAGCATGTTTTTTTCACGTAAATATTGATATCGCTTTATTATTGAATGTGGTATCTACAAAGTGGGACTTGAGAAAAGACTGCGAAGGATGGTAGCCCGGTGCATGTGTGGAACGACGGGAGGGCCTCGGCTTGGCGCTGATTTTTATTTTGTTACCAGGTAAGGCCCATGTGTTGCAACCGAAACGTCGTACGCTATTATGTTATTTTATTATTTCTTATTTATACGTGACTTTACCGAAAAAAAAAAGAGTAATCCCTGCAGTCACGAAAGCTTCAGATCAAGTCTGAACCACCTCTTCGGGGAGGTAAGAGGTCTGTGTCTTTGTGTTGTCTCTGCTTGTGTATCTGCCTTTGTGTCTTGGCTTGGATTTGTGTCTCTGTGATGTCTCTGCCTGTGTGTGGGCCTTGTTGCTTCCGTGTGGGTGCTGCCGAACCCCACTTTACCTCGTGCTGATTTGTCCCATTGTCACTCAGCCTTACCTTCTCTGCCTATTTAAGGCAACTTTACTGTGTGCTTGTCTCTGTGCTGGCTCGCTCTACTTGGTTGTCTGTGTGTGCGGTCTGTATTTAGAGTTTCATACTTTACCTGCAATTTAGCAATCTTTTGAAATAACGTGATCAACCGGACTATGCGTTAATTGTGTTTTGACCGACCGTCTGTGTTGCTTTACATGGTTTCCAAAATGTTTGCTAAACCCTGTTTGTCTGGTATGCTTCTCTCTCTGTGTCCCCTGTTGTATCTGTGTCAGTTCCCCCTACTTGGGTGTCTGTATATACATCTGAGGTTATGTGTCTCCCCTCTCTCATAATTTAGCTCTTCTGTACCTGATGATGGCTGCTTGTGTTGCAACCGAAACGTCGAACACTATTACGTTATTTTATTATTTCTTATTTATACGTGACTTTACCGAAAAAAACAAAGAAGAGCTTCAGTGGTTATATTTAAAAACAACACGTTTTCAAATTCTCGTAATATTTAATATAAATAATGTACACATACAAACGAGCGAGCTTATAGAAAAGATAGTGCCTGATTAAAATAGATAAGTTCAAAACTCATCCTACCCTCCTCAAAAACACATTTTATAAGCAATACGTTTGCTTTGTGCAAGTCAGATAAAAGCCGAAACAAATAATTCATAAAAAAAACTACAGTATGCCACATTTTTCAGTGTCTGCAAACAATTCACCCCAACCTTGCATATACGGACATTCAATCATCTCAGAATGCTTCAGAGGCCCACATAGCTAAAGGGAACAAAGAAGTTTCTCCATTGTGAGTTTGCTTTGTCACAGTCACCTTAGACTTCTGTTGCCCGTTAACACCAAACTTTGTCAACGCCTACATATCCTCCACCAAACAAGTCTGGCCTGGCTATAATCCATGGATGTTATTTTTTTTTTCTAAAACAGGAGGCGTATGCAATTGTATATTTCTGAATCAACTGGATGCATTTATTTTACACCCTTTTTGCCTTTCATTTGCCTTTTGAAAACAATAATATTTGCAATATATTTCACACCAACAATATGTTTTATTATTATTGTTTACGTTAACTTACAAAAATGTCTACTTACAAATGCATTTTTAGAGTATACAAGGCAACCTTTGTTAGCTCTATGGACAATTTATTTAACTGTAAAAATGACGTCTCCTGTCACACAGCTTCATATATTCATCCACTATTAAGTGTAGCACGGAGATGAAAGAAGAGAGAGACACATGAAGAGACGTCAGGTTAATGAGATAATAAAAAAAAATACAAACACATAAGCAATTGATGTTGAGTTCTAGTCTGAAAGATCTGCACCGCCATTAACAGATAATAGTGGAACCAATAGCTAATAAAACAATCATAATAATTAGCAAGCCCAAGGCTTAGATAAAGTAATGACGAGGTGCCAGAAAAGAGTATGAGATGCCGCCAGCTGCCATGTGTAATGTGTGCCTGTGCATAGCAAACCGTTAGCTCGCTCTTAAATAATTACTCACACTTGCCGATGCAGTTAATATTATTACAGTGGTCCGAATTTCTCTGGAGTGTAAAGCGTAACTGTGGGCAAGGGGCAGCATTTTCCCAACCAGATATAGTGGTGATGTGATGAATTGAATTCCAATACAAAGGACAAACGAACCCATCCTCAATATATAAATTGTGATAAGCATTCGCCTATCATTATCATTATCGTCATCATTTAGTAACATAATGATAAATTCACGTAATATGTACCAGCATTCACACCAAATGACACGACACATTATTATCCAAAGCATTGACTGGCATTGCATTTATGCTCAGGTGCTTAAAATGGATAATACACCGATTGGGATTAAAACAACCCTTTTCACGAGTTGTTGAAACATCACGCATATATTTGCATCACCACCTGCTCACAAACCGAGGAATTTGCCGTGGTCTGGGTGCATTATTCTGGCAGAGAACGCTACAGGCAGATGCTACGGCCACGGCACTCAGGAGACGAATCAGTGGGGTCCATAATGAACATGCCTAGCCCCGCACATTCCTAGAGCCCTGTCCACTAGACACAAGCTACAGAGCATGAACCACTTTCTGCAGTGGGACTGCTAAACACATTGGAGACAGAGCCATCTGCATAGCACTAACAAGAAGCTGGTTAAATACATAAAGCAGCAGGTGAGCCGAATGAATGAGGCTGCATATCAATGACATTAATAGAGGTGTAAATAATCCAACAATTTTTTGATTTAAAGCTTTCGTGACTGCAGGGATTCAACTTCTGGGTTCTTTCAGTAAAGTCACGTAGAATGGACATAAAATAATAATTGAGTGCGCTGTCTTCCGGACAGTCCTGTTTCTTCACCTGAGGAAGGCTACTTGTGTTGTGGCTGAAACGTCGTGAGAATTTTATTCTGTTATTATTATTTTATCTCCATTCTACAGTGAGGGAAAAAAGTATTTGATCCCCTGCTGATTTTGTACGTTTGCCCACTGACAAAGAAATGATCAGTCTATAATTGTAATGGTAGGTTTATTTGAACAGTGAGAGACAGAATAACAACAACAAAATCCAGAAAAACGCATGTCAAAATGTTATAAATTGATTTGCATTTTAATGAGGGAAATAAGTATTTGACCCCCTCTCAATCAGAAAGATTTCTGGCTCCCAGGTGTCTTTTATACAGGTAACGAGCTGAGATTAGGAGCACACTCTTAAAGGGAGTGCTCCTAATCTCAGCTCGTTACCTGTATAAAAGACACCTGTCCACAGAAGCAATCAATCAGATTCCAAACTCTCCACCATGGCCAAGACCAAAGAGCTCTCCAAGGATGTCAGGGACAAGATTGTATACCTACACAAGGCTGGAATGGGCTACAAGACCATTGCCAATCAGCTTGGTGAGAAGGTGACAACAGTTGGTACTATTATTCGCAAATGGAAGAAGCACTAAAGAACTGTCAATCTCCCTTGGCCTGGGGCTCCATGCAAGATCTCACCTCGTGGAGTTGCAATGATCATGAGAATGGTGAGGAATCAGCCCAGAACTACACGGGAGGATCTTGTCAATGATCTTAAGGCAGCTGGGACCATAGTCACCAAGAAAACAATTGGTAACACACTACGCCGTGAAGGAGTGAAATCCTGCAGCACCCACAAGGTCCCCCTGCTCAAGAAAGCACATATACATGCCCGTCTGAAGTTTGCCAATAAACATCTGAATGATTCAGAGGACAACTGGGTGAAAGTGTTGTGGTCAGATGAGACCAAAATGGAGCTCTTTGGCATCAACTCAACTCGCCATCCCCACCGTCAAACATGGAGGTGGAAACATTATGGTTTGGGGGTGTTTTTCTGCTAAGGGGACAGGACAACTTCACCACATCAAAGGGACGATGGGCGGGGCCATGTACCGTCAAATCTTGGGTGAGAACCTCCTTCCCTCAGCCAGGGC